TCCTGCAGACCTGCCTCCCTGGCAGAAACTCGAGCCACAGGGACGAGGGACCCTGCAGCAGCCAACACGTGCGCCTCTCCCGCCCCTGCCCGTGGCCCAATCTCCGTGGAATCGTTCCCTGCGGTTCCTCTGCAGGAGCAGACGGAGCGGATGGGGCTGCAGACCTGGCTAGTTCCAGGCTCTCAGGGCTGACACTTCGAGGCCGAACAAAGCCGACTGGAGCCCGAACCCTCGCCCTACGAGACAGAAACCGGATTCCGCAAGCACCCCACACCCGTCGCCACGGAGACCAGAGGCGGCTCAGACAGGTTTCTCGGAATCCTCATCGCCTTGATCCTCCCGGGCGCCCGTCACCACCTCCCTCCCCCAGCTACCTCCAGGGGACAACTGGGAATGCGGGTTTCGTTTAGGATGATGACACCAAAACACAAAGGTGAAAGGTCAAAGTTTGGCTTCCCCGTGGCACAAAAAGCCCAGACATTTCCCAACAGCCAGGTGTGCGATAAGCAGAGGCAAACACGCAGGAGCCGGGAGGCACGCAGGCTGCGCGCCAGGCGGCTGCGCCAACAAACACGCCGACTCCCCTCCACCACCGGCTGATGCACAGGGACAGCCCCCCTCAACCTCGGCCATGACCACGGCCCCCCACGAACCGCAGCTCAACACAGACCAAGTGCTGCCAGGACGCACGAACTCTCACGGCCCGGGCCACGCCCCCGGAGGCCCCAGGCCACCCCTCCGGGACGCGGGAGCGTGAACGGGGTGACACGTGTCAGGGGCTGGGCACTTACGGCTGCAGATGGGAGCCAACACCCGTTTAACTTAAACACCAAGACGTTTGCTTTGCAGGAGGTGCCCACGGAGCAGGCTGGGCGAGCCAGGTCCCCGGGGCGCAAGAGCTCCCCTCCGCTCGGCTCCCAGCCCCGATCTCCCGGGACGCGGGCGTGAGCGCAGACGGCCGTGCCCTGCAGATGCTCGGAGAGGAACCGGGGGCAGAGTGCCAGCCGGGCACCCACTGCCTTTTGAATTTAACTCTGAGAATCTCAAGACCTGCCCGGCGGGTGTGGCTCAGCGGCCGATGCCGTCAGGGCGCAGGCCCAGGTGCGGCTCGGGCCCTGGAGGCGGGTGTGTGGGGGCAGCGATGGATGTTTCTCACGTAGATGTTTCTCTCTGCCCCTCTGCCCTCCTCTCTCTCTGGAAAAGCCAATTAGAAAACCTTTAAAAAAAGAAAATGGTGTTTTTATGTTGTCTTTTCCCCGGAGGCGGCGTCCTGTGGCCTCTCTCGTTCTCGTGCGGCGAGCGCGTGGCGTGAGCGATGGTTCTGGGGACGCCCCTGCCCTCGGTGCCTGAGCATCACCCAGGAATGAGCTGGGGACGGAGCGTCTGTTAATGACCTCGGGCGCCGCTGGCTCGGCCGCATTCAAGTGTAATAACTGTTCCGGGTCCACGAGCCATCAGCCTGTGAAGGAGCCTCCGTCGCGGTGACGCTCGAGGCCGGTTTCCAGGCTGGAGGGACCCGTGCTCACGACGACCATCGACCTGCTCGCTCTTGGAGAAACAGACATTGGCATGGATCTCGGGCGGCCACGGCCTCCCTCCCGGACGGCACAGGCCTGGGGCGGGCCTAACCGCGAGGGGGGCTCATGCTCTCGGGGACCATGTTCCCCAGGGGATGGAGGTCTCCATCTCCCCCTGGCCAGTCCCGCAGCCTCCGGGGCCCCGTGAGGTCTGTTTCCTGCTCCCCCAGGCGGACGTCCAACTCCTCTGTGGGGAAGCCCCAGCTGCACCAAGGACGACTGCCTCTGCCTTCGACGGGGTGACCCCCAGG